AAGGATGTAGTGACCATCTTTGTCTCTCTTAATTAGTTTTGGTTTGAAATCTACTTTGTCTGCAAATAAGATTGCTACCCCTGCGTTTTTCTGGGATCCTGTCATATGGAGAACTGTTTTCCATCCTTTTACTTTCAGTCTATGAGTTTCTTTTTGAGTTAGGTGTGTTTCTTTTATACAGCATATTGCTGGATTTTGCTTCTTAATCCATTCTGCCAGTCTATTCCTTTTGGTTGGTGAATTGAGGCCATTAACATTGATAGTTATAATTGATAAATATTGACTCATCCTTGTCATGATGTTTTACTGTTGTTGGCTGTTTTATTTTTTATTTTCCCTCTTTCCCTTTAGTTTCTTGCCTTGCCTGGTGGCTTTGCTGTGTTGAGCCTCATGGAGTTGTGACCTTCATTGTCTTTTTCTAGGATAATGTTTAGAATTGTTTGTAGTGCTGGTTTGGTTTACATGAAATTTCTCAGGTGTTCTTTGTCATGGAAGTATCTAATTTCCCCATCGATTTTGAAAGATAATTTTGTAGGATAGAACAGTCTAGGTTGGAAGTTATTTTCTTTTAGGGCTTGAAATACTTCACTCTGGGCTCTCCCTGACTTGAGGGCTTGTGTTGAGAAGTCTGCTGTAATTGTGATGGGCTTTCCTTTGTAGGTGATTTGTTTCTTTTCTCCAACTGCTTGTAGGATTTTGTTCTTCTGTTGGGTTTCTGGGATCTTGACTATTATATGTCTAGATGTCGTTTTTTTTTGACTGTGGCTAATTGAAGTTCTATATGCCTCGCTTATCTGTATGTCATATTCTTTACCTCTGTTTGGAAAGTTTTCTGTCATTAATTTTGTGAACAGTTTTTTTTAATGCCATTTGTACTTTCTCCTGTTTTTTCAGGGATTTCTGTCAGCCTTGTTATTCTTCTTTGCATCGTCTAGCAGTTGCTGGCTTGATTTCTCATGGTCCCTTACTGTTTTTAAGAAATCTCTCTTTTCATGGTCACTGACTAGAATCCTGTCTTCTATATCTGATATTCTATCTTCACATTTGCTCAATCTGCTGTGAATATTTTCAATGGTTTTTAATCTCCTGGATATCTGAATCTGTTTCATGGATTCCATTGTTTTCCTATGTTGAACATTCATGGTTTCCATTTCTTTCCTATGCTGGGCATTCATGGCTTCCAGCATGTTTCTGAGCTGATCTATTTTTTTTATCTGGTTCTGGTCTAGAGCCTCTAATCATGTCTTTTATTCTGCTCACTATCTCTGTAGTTATCTGGGAAATTATTTCTGTTTTGAATTTTTCCAGAGCCTCATTTATCTGTTTTATTATTTTCTGTGCTATCAGTTCAGGTTGTCCAGGTGGTTGATTGTCATATTTTTCCACCTCGTTTCTCCCAGAATTAGCCTTTGGTGAGCTGGAAGTCTGGGTTTGTGTCTTGCTAAGGTGTCTTCTCATTTTTAATTTTGTTGTTGGTGCTGTTTTTTGCTTTAATTCCTGGGGTGATACTTCAACATTTCTTATTGTGAGTATCTTTATTGCTTGTGCTTAGAGCCCTTATGGAATGATTGGTTTTCAGAGATATCTTCCAGGTATACCTGGACTTTTTAAGCTTTGAGTCTCTAATGACTCTGGGCAATCTCATTTTCATTATACCAGGGAGGACAACTGATTAGATCAGTCATGACACCTTAGCCCAGTTGACACAGTCAGCATCAACAATAGCATCAAACACAGCTTAGAAAATGACAATTTGTGGTAGCAGTTAATCTGTCACCTTTAACTGAGCTAGATCAAAATCTGGGGCCAGCCCAAAATATGTTTGTAGTAAATAAACCCTTCAATATGGCAAATTTATCCTTTGGGATAAGGATTTAGAAGGGGTTGGGGAGGGAGGGGTAGAGAGATAGAAGGAGAGGGAAAGGTTAGAGGTGAGGCTAGAGGACACGGGAAGATCACGCACATTGTGAGAATCTGTTGAAGACAGGAGGAAAAGACCGAGGAATAGAACAGAGACAAGTACAGAATAAACTAACAACAACAGGGAAGCTAGAAATTGTATTCACCTTCCTATAATAGTGACAGTCAAGAAGACAGAGAGAGAAAAACAATTCAAAATGGGACAAGAACAGGAACAAAGAGGGAGAGAAATACAGAGCCAGAAGGCGGGGGGGGGGCGGGGGGGAGAGGAGAGGAGAGGGAAGGGAAGAGGAGGAGAGGGGAGGGCAGGGCAGGGGAGGGGAGAGAAAAAGGTCTCCCTCAGGATATGTCTTTGCTGTCCTGGTAGACAATGTGGGCAGCAGTGTGCAGGTCTAAGTCCATTAGTCTCAGCAAGCCAGCTATAGTCTACTGAGATTCAGGCTGATTTCTGGCTGCAAGGTCCAAGTTGAGCTTCCTTCCTGGATTAAACTCTGCAAGGTTCTACTGCAGGTTCCAGCTGTCCTCCCCTCTGAGTGAGCCCGGGTTTCTATGGGAGATGCTGATCCCACCAACTTACCAACCACAGTGGTCCAGTGTGCCTTTATTGAAGAGATTTTCTTCACTTTCCCAGTGGGCTTCAATTTTCATTGAGGAGCCTCGGAGAGGCCCTCTCTGTTGTTCACTTCTGCGGCTCATAACCATGGCCTTTATGACACGCCCCCCAACCCGGTGCCTCTGCTGGGCAGATTCAGATACTGTGCGCGGCCCGCACTGTGGGCAGGGTCTGGCATGGTCTGGCGAGGCATGGCCTCTACTGGCATCCCAAGATTTATCCAATTCTTCTGTCTTTTGCTGCTACCCAATGTGAAGCCACCTTGTTGGTGTGGACGGGGTGAACTTCAGTTACGGCACTACAAGTTCTCTGTTACAAATCTAGGCTCCTGTATTAGGAACACACAGTAGCCAGAAGTATACAAAGGGTTATATAGCATGAAAACTTGGCCCAGAAAGAAAAGGCCTGAGTTCAGATATACAGTATTTTCTGTAATTAAAATGATTGGGAAATATAATAAAGGAGAGATCAGCAAAAAGCATATATCCATCTAGAAATAAGTGTCCAATTCAAAAACTCTCCTGGAAGCTAGCACTATTTCTCCAAGACAGTTTATAAGTCTTTAAAATTTTCTATTTTAAATTGAGTGAATTCAGAGAGTCTATATTCAATGAGTTCTAAGACTAATCTGATTATATTTCAATTAACTCTGGAGAACTGTGGCATCGGGCTGAGTCCTCCACACAGGTGGTAAAGAACTTTTCAAAATAAAATCTACATAGCAACACCCAGGAGTACCAGCTTCCAAACTCAATTCCCACTCAGGCCAAACAACCAAAAAGAACTAGCTACCATCTATTTAAATATTAAATAGTATTTTCAAGAAAATGTTTTGTAACTTGTATTTTTCCATTTTATAATTTTAAGTACTACAATTAATATGGGGATGAGAATGTGCTTATGAAGAACAAAAGGCTACCATTGCATTTTAAAAGTTCATAAATGGGAAGGAATTTCTAGAAATCTGCTATATTATCTATTCTTTACAATGCTAATTCTAGCCAAATGGGATTTGCTAATAGTTGATTACTTAGGTGATTAAAATATAAAAAACACAAAATGTATCCCAGTAATCTTCACTGACACAGTCCACTTGAAAGCAGGTTTCCTGAAATATATTTATAAGGAAGTTTTTACTCTTTCTTCTGATAGTACTGGTACACATATAAGGGTTAACTGCATGGAATCCTAATACTACAGTATAAGATTGTTTCATCAAATATTAGGAAAATTGGAAAATATATGTGCATTCTAAAGTCACTGGAATTAAAAAAATATATTCCAGTATTAAATTACAGATGACAATGGTGTGAACAATAAATACTAATCTGTTTTCTACTTTCAAGTTTGTGAGCTTCTGATATAATCATTTCTGTACACATGTGATAGATGAGAAACTAATTCTGCCCTCTATCCCAGTACCATTTTCTCTACACATAACAAGTCTTTGATTTATATCCTTTTTTAAACTTCCTGGGTAACCTTAAAGGACAAGATTCAAGCCACTCTATGTCAAATAGCCTTTGCAGTCCTGGAAAGAATTCAAACAAGCCACTGACACTTGACTGCTAATCTTAACAAATGCACTTTAAAAAGCTATTGAGCCATCATAGCAAATTCTTCAGAAAGTATCTTTTCCTGTGTGCACCTTTATAAGTGTGTGTTAAAATCAGGCTAGTCGGTCACTCTTCCCAATAGCCTGGGCTTATAGAACGATCAAGAAAGTATTTGTTCATCAGTAACTGAGCCAGTACTGGGTTTTAAAACTAAGCCAACACAAGGCAATTGTCCTGTGCCAAGGGAGGTGGCGGCGGAGGTCCTATGTGGTGCAGACACCCCCAGAGCAGGAACCCCATTGTCCTCTCTCCCTCTGAGAGACAAGCTGCCCTTGATGCCCTCACTACTAGTGCCTCTGTTCCACTTTTAGAGAGAATGATGTTCGAGCAGGAAAACATGGTATTTTTCCTGCCAGGAAATACACATAATTTTCGGGGCCCAGTGCAAAGGAAAAACATGGAGCCCTTCTTCAAACATTATTAAGAATTTCATGACAGCCACAGCCAAGCACTGAAGCAAGCATGAAGCCCTTCAAGTGTGGAGCCAGCACTGGGTGGGTTTCCTGCCTGGTCAGAACCCAGGGGGAAGACGAGGAGATTTAGCTGGAGTTTCTTCATGAAAGAGAGTTTTGTTCATGATATTGATTCAAACACTGACACTACTTTGGAACCAAGTAGCATGACACTTTCAGAATCTCAGATTTTCATTTCAAAAATTTCATGTTGGACTGGTTAGTCTCTTCTCCCAAATTTCTCACTGTAGAAATAGTTACATGGGGTCCTTCAATGCCCCTTATTTTAATACAGCAATTAATCAGACATGATGAATTTCTATATTAATCCTAGTTGATTTTTTAAAAACTTTAAGCACTTCTTAACAGGGAGGTGATCACCAAAGCAAGAGAACATCTTAAAGGGAAAGCATAGCTGTACAACAGTTTTATATTCTAGAGTAAAACCTTAGTTTTAGTCTGTGTTATATCTTGTTCCCTTTTAAGAATACAGTTGTAGCCTAGAATTACTTTTAGCTATTCTAGGTGTCTTCTTGTTCCAAATGAACTTTTGGATTTTTTTCTCAAGGTCTGTGAAGTATGCTGCTGGAATTTCAATTGGGATTGCATTGAATCTGGATAGCAGTTTTGGAAGTATAGCCATTTTTGCTATATTGTTTCTTCCTATCCAGGATCAAGGGATATCTTTCCATTGTCTGATATCCTCTTTGATCTCTTTTTTCAGAGTGCTATGGTTTTCAGAGTAGAGGTCTCTGATTTTTTTCATTAGGTTTATTCCTAAGACAGGGTAGGGGGTAACACAATCCCCAACTTGAAACTATACTACAAAGCTACTGTGATAAAAACAGCCTGGTACTGGCAAAGCAACAGACCCAAGGACCAGTGGAACAGATTAGAAGATGCAGAAACAACGCCAGACACACTCAGCCATCTCATCTTCAATAAAGGAGCCAAACACCCTCACTGGAGGAAAGTTAGCCTCTTTAATAAGTGGTGCTGGAAAAATTGGGTTTCAACTTGCCAAAGATTAAAACTAGACTGATATCTCTCACTATACACCAAACTAAAATCCAAATGGATTAAAGATCTAAATATTAAAACAGCAACTAAATTGTCTGGAAGAGAGGTTAGGTAGAACTCTTGAAGACATTGGCGTAGGAAAAGATTTCATGAACAAAACCTCAGTTGCCCGTCAACTAGCATAAAGAATCAACAAGTGGGATCTCATCTTATTAAAAAGCTTCTGTGCAGCAAGAGAAACCACCAGCAGTGTGCAAAGACAACCCACAATGTGGGAAAAAAGTTTTACCAGCTGTTCCTCAGACCAAGGTCTACTATCTGGAATCTATAAAGAACTGAAAAAAATCAGACCTCCCAAATTTAAAGACCCAATTCAAAAATGGACATCTGAAATGAACAGACATTTCTCAAAGAAGTAGAAATAGCAAATAACCATATGAAAAAAATGTTCAACATCACTGGACATTTGAGAGATGCAGATGAAAACAACACTGAGATTCCACCTCACCCCAGAAAGAATGGCTGCTATCAAGAAATCAACCAATAACAAATGCTGGTGGGGCTGTGGGGAAAAAGGAACCCTGCTCCACTGCTGGTGGGAGTGCGGGCTGGTGCAACCACTGTGGAAATCACTATGGAGATACCTCAGAGAACTAGGGCTAGAGGTCTCATTTGACCCAGCTATTCCTCTGCTGGGTATCTTCCCAAAAGAATTAAAAGAATCATAATACAGTGATATATGCACACCCATGTTCATAGCGGCACAGTTTGTAATAGCTAAAGCTTGGAAAGAGCCCAAGTGCCCATCAACTGGAGACTGGATAAAGAAAATGTTTTGTTTTTTTAAAAAATAAAATGGAGTACTACTCTGCCATAAAGAATGAGACGCTAGACATTTATTGCTAAATGGATGCATATTGAGGCGATACTGCTAAGTTGAAATAAATCGGACACACATGTAAATACCAAATAGTTTCTCTGGTATGAGAAACTGAAAGTGTAAATAAGAATCAAAATATATAATATAAATGTAATATGTATGTATGATATATAATATGAAATAGGAAGAAAAGGGGCAAAGGGGAAGGGAAAGTGGGAGAGGTAGGGAAAAGGAAAGAAGGGAATGGAATTAATACAAGAAAATGGAAACAGTCTTTGTAAATAGGGAGAGTGGAGGGGTTGAAGGGAGGTCAGGGGAATGCGGAAAAAATAAGAATCAAGATACATTATGTAAAGGTACAAATTTCCAATGATGAATGTCATTATATTGTATATGTAAATGTACCAATATTCATTTTTAAAAAATACAGTTGTAGATTTTTCAAAGTAAACACATTAAGTTTATTTTTTTTAACACCCATACTGGCATTCAGACATAAGAATTTCACTGGAATCCAGCAATATCCCATTCTTCATAATAATGAAAACATGTATGTGTATAAAAGCTCCCGGTTACATTACTAAGCAACGACATTTCCAGGAGTTAATATACTTCCTGTAGTCCGCAAGCTGTTTCTAACTTTGACAGTCATCTGCGTTTCTCAACAAAACTGCATTATTCCACTGAAAGATCCTGAAATTCAGGCTTTTAACCGAAGATGAGGTAGTTGGTGGCAATGCAGTGAAGAAGCCAGATTGAAAGGCAGTCAGAGTGGTGAAGCTTGACCTTTGTGAGTGGGCTGACAATGTCCAGGTTCGTGGAGGCCTGCTCCGTACTCAGCATGCTCTGCAGCTGTGTGACGATGAACAGCTCGCAGATGTGCTGCAGCCTGGACTCCTGGTACATCCCAGTGCAGATCAGCAGGCACATGGCCTGGAAGATGCTGGCTGGGCAACAGGAGTCTGTGTGTAGGTATTCTAAAAACCTGGCTGGCAGAATACCATGTCCCCACACTGGCAGCCAACAGCAAGTTATTTAGGTCAGAGAAAATGCGAGGCTTTGGCCTTTAGCACAGGCATCTTTTCTGACTGTTCAAGCTGCGGCGGTCTAATTCCATGAAATGAGGTGCTCATTTTCCTTTTCTTCAATTGTCTTCTGATTTAACGCTTGAAACATAAAGTATTCCAACACGCCTCCACAATACTTTCCTTATAGAAGGCATCCAGGCTGTGTAGTTCAAGATAGGTCGCCCTTCCTTAGCCAGCTGGATTGCTTCCGTTGTACTGACACAACTCCCTCACTCAGAGGTACCCAGTGGGCAGGTACGAGGTAATTCTTCATTTTGTCTGATACCAACCGCAGCAATGGTGACTGGAACTGAGTTTAATGCCCTTTTTATCGCTGGAATATACTTGTCTTTCACTTCATGGAATGAAAACTTGTTGTTTGCATTGTATTTGATCACAGTGATGCAGGCAGTCCCAATTAGGTTTCAGGACGTGTACCAATCACTGTCGAAAATGTCATGGACCTTGAGCCAAGGGCAGGGCAGCGGCTCGGAGAGAAGTGGTTCCCCTGGCCTCTCGGGGCTCACGGGCAGTGTGGGAGCCAGTCTGTCATCCCGGCCTTGGCTGAGCAGCGCAGGACGGAGCTGGGCGGAGCGCTAGGCCGGCGGTCACCAAGTGCAGGGACATCGCGACCGCTGGGTCCTGGGCACACAGCAGCTCTCTGATGTTCATACATTTTATTTTAATGCATCTAGATGTGGATTTGCATCTCTTTGATGAACACTCTACAAACCATTTAAATGTAAGGTTTTAAAATGTTTAAGAAGCTTTTTATTGGAGATGAATTTAAATATATACAAAATGTATATGGTATAGTCGCCTCCCCAGGACCTTTGTTCAGTGCTCAGCCACAAACTCACCAACACCCCAGCCTCTTTTTCATTTCCCGTATGGAAAGTGAAGCAAACCTTAGCTAGGTTGTGTCATTTAGATGTCATAAGATTTTTTTTTTTTCATTAAGTTGACTGGTACATTTTAGGTACACAACACAGTTACATTCATCACTGGGATCTTGTACCTGTACATGATGTATCTTGGTTCTTATTTTTTCCCCCTTCCCCTCCCCTCCACCCCCTCCACCCCTCCCTATTTACAAAGACTTTGTTTCCATTCTTTCCTTTTCTCATATTTTTTTCTTTTCCCTTCTTTCCTTTCCCCTAGATGTCATGAGATTCTCGATCTCTATATTTGAGAACCTCTATTTTCAGGGGATTCATTGGGTCTCATTGCAAGACCCCCGCGGTGGTCTGAAACTGTGGAGAGTACTGCCTCCGTGCAGTTTCTTCCTGCACACACACACACACGTGTTTAATGTCGTTTGTGCTTAACTCAGCACTTACCATGCCCCACAGCTGTAACTTTTGCAGTTTGAGATGTGACAGTAAAATTTACCAATTTCCTTCTCCTTTTTCAGTTTTATAGATAGAAGAGATTCTTACTGTAGATCTTAGTGACCGTTACTGTTTTAACATTTTGGTGGTGCTGGGGATTAACCCAGGACTCTGTGCATGCTGGGCAAGTGGTCTACCACTGTGCTATATGCTCAGTCCTTTTTATTTTATTTTTTTGAAATAGCATCTTGCTAAGCTGCCCATTCTGGCTTTGAACTTGTGATCTTCCTGTCTCAGCCTCTTGAATAGCTGGGTTTATAAGCCACTATGCCTGGTTAAGACATACTTTTTATTTATTTGTTTGTTTGTTTTTGCTACTGGGGATGGAGCTCAGGACCTTGTGCTTGCGAGGCAGGCGCCAGAACCACTGAGCTAAATCCCCGGCCCTAGACATACTTTTTAAAGAAAAAAATGCCACATTATCCAAGTGATGTATTCCACTAAGATTCGAGATGCAAGATTTGTCTGCATTTGTGTTGTTTGTCCCTCTCACTATCCACGTTACTGAGGTGCCGTCAGGCCGTTGTGTGCCCTTCGTTTCTCTGAATCCAAAAGGACTTAGAAAATGCCCCATTATGACATCGCCCTCACCACCATCAGCACTGTGCTGAGAAAGTTGGAGGCTTTTTATGTAAGCATTTTTGTCTGCAGCAGATATTTCTGGAGGAACAGCCTTAGTTGTCTTACTCTACTATTTAAAGTCTTTTGGGATAGTATAAGCTAGTAACTGAACACAGGCTTGTTTGTATCACTACTTTCAATTTGGGGAGTTTTTTTGTTTTAATTTATAACTGGAAATATTTACCTGTTTCTGAAGTCAAATCTATAAACAATGGAAAGTTTAAACAAAGTCTGAGACAAACATGTAGGGGTGCAGTGGTAGGTGGAGCTTCTCCATCTTTTATACCCAGTGAAAATATGAATCTGAATTTCATGTCATAACCAATTTGTGAAACTGCTGTTCTTTCTCGTAGATGTCCACACTGAGGCCGTGCAAGCAGCTTTGGCTAAGTACAAGGAAAGGAAGATGCCTATGCCTTCAAAAAGACGTTCAGTCCTTGTGCATTCGTCTGTAGAGACCTACACCCCTCCAGGTATGGAGAGAGGAAGGGACTCACAGGCCAGTGGGCATAGCCCATGTTCCCATTGAGCTGGGACATCCTCCCAGCTGCAGTAAGATATGGAAAGTTTGGAGATGAAAAATGTTTGTATATGTACACATTCCTTATCTGGAAATCTATAGCATACACAGTATTGTTCTTACCCAAATGGACACTTGCATTTTATAGGACTTTTTGTGTGGATTTCTAAAAGAAATTCTTTTTTTACTAAGATGCTACTTATGTCTTTTAGTAAAGAGAAGAATCTAAAATAAGTACTCAGTGGAATAGTAAAGCTTCCTAAATTAAGACTTTTAAAATTATCCTCATTTTACCCCTGTTTTTAGTATGCTGTTACCAGGACTTATGTGGGATAGTGTAAGACTGGATTTTTCTGGTATATTTTGTGGCTTTGTTATTGTAACCATTAGAAATTAGAACCTGAACATGGATCAAGGTGTGGGGTCTGGTGGCTTCACATCCATGGGCCTCCATAGCTGCCCCTCATAGTACTAAGTGGTGACACTCATTTTTGGTTTGATGCATTTACAATTATTACTCAGTAAAAAACCAGTCATACAAGATTCATGAAATAATTTAGTGCTCTTGATAATGCTTCTTTGCTTGAAAAAAAAATTTAGTGTTAAATCTTAGAAATGGCTGCCAAATTAGTTTCTGTTAAATAATGCTATAGACATTGTCCAATTCTAAAAGAATCTTTTCACAATTGTAAAACTCCATAAAATGCAGTTGTGCTGAATCTGCTGGTGCATGCCTGTAATCACAGTGCTTTGGGAGGCTGAGGCAGGAGGATCCCAAGTTCAAACCCAGCCTGGGCAGCTTAGTAACTTAGCGAGACCCTGTCTCAAAATGAAAAGTAGAAAAGAAGGGGCTGGGGATGTAGCTGTGTGCAAAAACCCTGGGTTCAATCCCCAGTACCTGAAAAAAAAAAGCAATTATGCTGACTTGATGAAACCTTAGTTCAGCTGCTGACTGAAGGAAGCACTGTTTTGGAGGGAGGATTCTTTCTAAAACGAATTCACCTGTTTCCCTAAGAGGACCCCCCCCCCCAGACAAGTCACAGCCCCCACAGCCATGTCGACGGCAGGCTCCTGCCCGGCCAGGACACCCTGAGTGTGGTATGGGCTGTGTGGGTGTGCAGTGGGGCAGCACATCACTGGCAGGGGCTCCTTTGCTCAGGGGTGCAAGGCTCTCTTCACCTCTGGTGTGTGGTGCCTGTGGCCAAGGCCTCTCTGGGGAAGTTGAGGCTCCTGGGCCCACTTGCCTGCAGTGAGCTCTTGCCGCCCTTATAGGTCGAGGCGACCCGAGGTGCCCACTTGCCTGCTTGGGTGGCAGGGCTGCCCTCCTGACCCAATCCGATATCATGCCTGTCGTCGTTATTTTAACCACAGACACGTCGTCCGCCTCAGAAGATGAGGGCTCTTTGCGGCGACCCGGGCGACTCACCTCCACTCCGCTCCAGAGCCATCTCAGCGTTGAGCCCTGGCTCGACCGGGTCATTCAGGGCTCGTCCACCTCATCCTCTGCATCCTCCACCTCATCTCACCCGGGAGGGAGACCCAGCGCTGCTCCCAGTGCCGCCGCCGCCACGCTCGCAGGCCTTGCAGCCCACACCCACATAGGTCAGTAACAGCTGCCGTGGCCCACAGGACAAGGTCCAACCCTGCTCTGCCGAGGGACGAGGTTGTGAGACCCGATGTCACCGCTGGCTGGTTCAGGACTTTGGATAGCCACGCCACCAGCAGTAGGGGAAGATGTTTTAACATGTCATTGGTGTTCAGTCCTGAAAACCTGTAGCACTTGGGCCTGTGCTTAGGCTCCACCCACCCCCACCTTGCATCTGTGGCAACAGGCAGTTCAGTGCTTCTGGCTCTGGCAGCCTGACTCATGCGTGGTGTCTTGATGGCCCTGGGTCCGTCCTGTTCTTGAGTGGATGGCTGACATTGCAGCTGCTGGTGGTTGTGACAGCTGCCCTTGGCTGGCTGCCTGTCATCAGTCTTTCCTCTTGGCTATAGGGCCATGTGTGGTCCCTGTACCTGGGTGAGTCCTGAGGCAGGGGCTGGGGCTACAGCTAGGTTTGGCTGTCTTCCTCCAGATACCCCTCAACTGGAAAGCAAGGTGTCAGGCAAAGGTATCATAAAGATGCATGAGTCTTTTTCAAATCATGTAGCCCTTTGGATTACATTAATCTCAGGAAAAAACCACAACCTTCCATCATTTGAAACCCTATTTAAAACAGAAGCAGTGGTTGGTTAGCTGGGAAGGGCTGGCATATGAAGCCTGCCTACATTCCTGGCCTCATACCTTAAAGTACAGTTAGGATGGTTGGAGACTCGTCTTCATCCCTCATTTTCCTAGTGTAGAAGACGAAAAGCTGGGTGATTGCAGCTTCCTAGGATCACATGGCCCCTTAGTGGGGAAGCCAGGGCTGATACTGTTTCCTGGATCCCTTTTTGCTGAGCTGAGGAGTGCCTGCAGGGTGCCTGTGGCAGGTGGCTGGGGCCTGGTGGGATCCCCTGGGCCACCTCAATGTGTTGGTCTCACCTGTGGGCAGGGCTGGGGTGAGTAGGGGGCTCCAAGAGGCCTATAGCTTCTGTCCCTGCACCCTCCCTGTGCTGCTTTGTGTTTTATCTGTTTGGGTCGGTACATGACATGTGCATAATTCTGTTGGTTGTGTGCCTTTCTGCCACAGTGTAAGTCAGTGGGGATCCATGGTGCTTCATCTGCACCTACGCTATGTCTGCCATGTAGAGGACTTGCATGACCTGCCAAGGCATCGGGAGGCAGTGCCCCCTGGAAAACAGCCCACCTCGATGGTGTGGCCTGTCTGGTGTCCTGCATGTGGCCACCTTTTTTCAAGGAGGTTGGCAGACAGCTTGAAGACAGCCTTGACACTGTATTTTCCTTCTCTGTTATCTGGAGATGAACTTTACTAAAACACAGTTAATGCTCATGGGAGACAAACAGTGGCCCTGAGTGTTGCATTGTGTTTGCTCCCTGAAGCTCTTCTAGGTGAAACAGTGACACGATGCAGGGTGAACTGAGCAGCTACACGTCCTCAGCCACCCCTGGGTGTCCAGTTACTGTTCTTTGTGGGCAATGAGGAACTCAGGCCTGTGTATCATGAAGAGTCAGCCACAGCTCAGTGTTTGAGCACACAGCCCTCCACCCTCCAGGAGTCGTGGCATGTCTTTGAAGTAAGCTCTTAACTCTAACATGTGCTTGAATTAGGTGTTTCCATTCTCTGAAGAGCCTGGCTGTCAACATTAGTGATGTGTCTTTCAGCTGTGTCTTCCTTTCTCATTTGCTTGGCCTCATATAGACATGTTGTGGTAAATTCTGGAATATTTGAAGAATATCTCAGTTTGGACGCTAATACCTGCCTGCAGATTGTAGTTCTTGTATGTCATTTACGGGACATACTTGAGTTGAATATCTAAATCTCAAAATACAGGTTGAGTTCTCTAATCTGAAAATCAGAAATCTGAAGTCTGAATGAAACTTCAGGTGTTGTATTGGAGCAGCTTGGATTTTCCTTGGACTTAGGGTCAGGAATGCTCAGCAGCGAAGGGTGCAAGTGTCCCAAATCCGAAGCAGCTCAGGTCCCAAGAACCTCAGATAGGTGAGCTCAGCCTGTGTTCATCTCCCCTATCCTTATGCCAAAATCGCTCTTTACTTCAGCTTCTAACATTGGGTAATTCTTTAGTTTGAACTAAGGAAAGAAATATGCAAAGAGTGGATTAAGTAAAAAAACTTGAGGTAGAACATATTAGGTAAAGGTAATTAAAAAGTTAGGTTTGGATTAAGGAAATCAAATGCATTCAACATTTTGATACAAATGTAAATACCTATATTTACAAGAAGTACTTTTAGTTATGCTAATTAATTAATTTTTTTTTTCTGGTACCGAGCTCAGGACCTTGTGCTTTTGAGGCAGGCACAGTGCCACTGAGCTAAATCCCTGGCCCCTATGCTAATAAATTTTTGAGTGTATTTTTTTTATGCAGTTATTTATTTATTTATTTATTGTTGATACCGGGGATTGAATTCGGGACCTTGCGCTTTCAAGGCAGGCACTGGAACCACTGAGCTAAATCCCCGGCCCTATGCAGTTATTTTTAAAAATGACTTTGTAGTATATAAATCACCATATCTACATTTACTTCTTTCTATGTATACTTTGTATATCATTTATTTTTGCTAGGTTTGGGAGCTTGAGAAAATTTCTTTTTAAACTAAAAGAAGCTCCTGGTTCACACTTTACATTGCTAATTGTTCAACACTGGGCCCTTTCAAAAGTTGTGGAAATTTGTGTCACTAAAGTTCAGGTTGTCTAAAGGAACATACTTCAGCCTTCTATATATGTGAAAAAGTCTTTGCACTGTAGCTAGGTTAATGAAATAATAGATGATCAGAATTTAAACATGTAGAGCAGTGCTGACAAACCTTTTAGAGTCAAACACCCAAATTGCAACTTAAAACCCATTCATTTATTGCAGAGTGCCAACACTGCAATTAAACCTGAACACTGAGGTTTTAGTTTAGAGAAAACAGCTCATACATTAACATCGTTTGTTTTAAAAGCAAAACAAATAACACACATGCCATAGGTTCACCACCACTGCTCCAGAGTGTTAGAGTATCAGGGCAAGACTGGGAGTATGTTTATTGAAATACCAAGCAGATTTCCAGTCTCCACCCAGCAAAGGCGCTTGTGGATTCTCTTAGGTGGACCACTATCTGTGTTTAGTAGCATGCAGTTCTGATCAGTGTTCCTACACAGTGCCTTTCCTTTCTTTGTAGGCCCAAGTGCACTGATAATTCCTGCAGTCAGCCAGCATTCAGAACAGATAAATGTGCTGCACCATGAAAACTAAACAGAAAAATGTACATTGAAACAATGGAAGGAAGACCTTTAATCATTTTTATATCTTACATAGTCTTATTAATCTTCCTTTTTTTGCTTGTTTGGTTGGTTTTTCGAGACAAGAGTCAGTCTCACTATATGTTGTTCAGGCTGTTCTTGAACTCACTATGTAGCCCAGGCTGGCCTTCAACGTGCAGTGACCCTCCTGCCCCAGCTTCCTGAGTGCTGGGATTACAGGGGTGGGCCACTATGCCTGGTTTATTAAACTTACTTTAAGAAGTAGATTGTGATTTCAGTAGTGCCGGGTTTTGTTTTTGAGGCAGGTGTCTCACTGTTGCCTATGCAGGCCTCCAGCTTGTGATACTCCTCGGCCTCCTGAGTTATTGAGATCACAGACAAATACACCTGCATCTGGCTTATCATTGTAGCACTTAACTGGCAGTGGGAACAGTTTCACTTTTTGTAGTTTTATTCTTTGAGCCTTGCAAAGGTGGTGTCTTGGTGATAGCTAGCATACTTTTTAGAGGGTTGGGGATAATTTATAGAAGTCTGGCTGTTACTTCATAATATTCCAAAAACACTTGATTCTACATTTGTTTCTATGTTCTTGAGGGAGAATTTCTAAATAAAATCTTGTCAGGCTGGGCTTGGTGGTGCACAGCTGTAATCCCGTGCACTGGGAGGCTCAGGCAGGGGGATCACAAGTTTGAGTCCAGCTTGGGCAACTTAGTGACTTTGCTGAGAAAATAACGAAATAACAACAAAAAATTCTGTCTCAAAGTAACAGAAACAATTTTTTTTTTTTTCGTACCGGGGATCGAACTCGAAAGGGCTGAGAATGTAGCTCAGTGAAAACACTCTGGGTTCTAGCCCCAGTGCCACACTAGTGGGTCAGTCATTCAGTCAGTAATGGTCTTGTCAGGCTGCTATGGCAACAGCCTCTGTGCTGTGGACCCCATGGAGAATGGAGCCTCCACCTACCTACATCTCCACACTCATCGTGGAGCTCCTAGGGTCCGCTGTGCCCTTGGTCAACCAGGAAGATGACACTAACCGGGCATCGCATTCTCCTGCTTAGCACTCAGCTGGTGGAACTTCATACAAATGGGCTTTGAACAGCAGTTGAACACTCATTTGAATTAACAGCCACTTTCCTTGGGTTTATTTCTCAAAAGCAGATCTGCACTCTGCCCCTCCTGATGTCACCACTGGCCTTGTGCCGCATCCACACTATGAGCGGCCACAAGTGGCCTCGGTGAGAGGTGTTCCTCGGGGGTTCGGTGGCAGCATCCTGGAAACGGCAGATGGTGAGCTTCCTCTCTTCTTTTGAAACGATAGAGCACAGATTTTCTCTTTGGGTATTGAAAACAGCTTTAGTGTGTTCCCTGTAGCAACCCTAAGCACCCATCCGTTGTAACCCATTTGTGCAGATGAAAGGAAACTAGTGTGTGCAGTGGATGTCACCACAGAAAGCATCGTGTGGAGAGATAACTGGAAATATCTGCAGAGGGTCAAACAGGGAACTGGAAGAGTAGGGAGGGAGGAACTCCAGATCTAGACTGGTGCCAAAGGAGTTGCGTCTGCAGCCTCAGAGGAAGCAAGCAGCTATGGCAAGCTCCTGTCTTTGGATGCAGAGTGGGTCTCAGTCCACGAGGGTGCCCAGCCCCACATCCCAGTCACCTGTGAGGTTGGTGCTGCTGCAGCGGGGTTCCTGTGTGCACCTCAGTGGTGCTGGTGATTTTCTAGTGTCCTCATTTATGGCCTTTCACGTTCTGCACGAGACCCCACACCCAACCCTCCCTCGGGAGCCTCTCCTTGGAACACCCTCCTCTGAGCTGTGAGATCTTTGGCTAACCCAGGATCACAAAAGTTTTCTCCCAGAACTTTATACTTGTAAGTTTTACACTTAAGTACATAGTTCATTCTGATTTTAGCAAAAGTATGACCTATGAGTAAAGTTAACATTTCTATTTATAGATATCTAGTTATTCTAACACCACTTAGTGTAAAGACCATTCCCCTCCACCTAGTTTCACTTGCATCTTTAAGAAAATCCATAGATATTCATGTGGGGCTGTCTCTGTAGTGTTGGCCATTGTTCTAGTTCTCCCTCTGTATAACAACGCCTTATGTAGCCATGATTGCTGTGGTTTTATAGAAGTTCCTGAAATTGTATAGTTTAAGTCCTCATGATCTCCTTTTAAAAAGTGCTTTGGCTATTCAAGCTCCTTTGCATTTAATATATGAAAATCCATTTGTCATTTCTATAAAAACTGCTGGGATTTTGAGTGATGCTTCATTGCATCTCCAGATCAACTTGGAGAGATTACAGACCATGAACATGGTAAATCTCTGTTCATTTAGATCTTTGAAAAAAAATCTCAGCAGTGTTCACTAGTGTTTTGTAGCTTTCAATAGAGGTGTTACATATGATTTGTTTTAAAATTATCCCAAAGTGTGTTATATATTTGATGCTGTTGTAAATTGCAAGTAGTTTTAGGATTTGTCTCAATTATTTATTGTTAGGCTACAGAAATGCAATTGATGTTGTATATTGATCTTATATTTGTTCTAGTAGCCTGCCTGCCTTCTTTCTCTCTCTCTCTCTTTCTTTCTTTCTTTCTTTCTTTCTTTCTTTCTTTCTTTCTTTCTTTCTTTCTCTCTCTCTCTCTTTCTTCCTTCCTCTCTCTTTCTTTCTTTCTTTCTTTCTTTCTTTCTTTCTTTCTTTCTTTCTTTCTTTCTCTCTCTCTCTCTCTCTCTCTCTCCTTCCTTCCTTCCTTCCTTCCTTCTTTCTTTCTTTCTTTCTTTCTTTCTTTCTTTCTCTCTCTCTCTCTCTCTCTCTCTCCTTCCTTCCTTCCTTCCTTCCTTCTTTCTTTCTTTCTTTCTTTCTTTCTTTCTTTCTTTCTTTCTTTCTTTCTTTCCTTCTTTTGGTAGAATGTTTAAGATTTTCCACAGGCATGATTATATTGGCTATGAATGAAATAGCCTTATATTTTCTTTCTAAATTCTTTATTTTTCTTTATTTTACTGTCTAGAGCTTCTGATACTGTGTTGATTAGAAATGTTGAGTGTGGACATTTTTACCTTCTTTATTGTCTTAGAAAAAGTATTCGGTTTTCCATTTTCAATTGTGGTATTAGATGTAGGTTTATTATTCTTCAGATTGATAAATTCTCTTTTCTTTAGTTTCCTGAAAGTCTTTATTGTGGTCTTTATCAAATGATTTTTTTTTGAGGTTTTGGGGATTGAACCCAGGGCCTTTGCACTGAGCTACATCCCCAGCTCTTTAAAAATTTTTTGATTTTGTTTTGAGAGAGGATCTTACTAAGTTGCTAAGGTGTCCAGCTGGGCTAGAACTTGTGATCCTCCTGCCTCAGCTTCCCAGAGTGCTAGGATTACAGGCATGCGCCACCATGCCCAGCTAAATTATTTTGTTATTTAATGAAATGATCATGGATTTTATTTTGTAATTTTTTAATATAGTAAATTACACTGATTTGTTTTTCCAATTTTTTATTGCAGTAAAATACTGTACATATCCTTGGTTAATCTAATTCTTTTTTTGAGACAAGGTCTCACTATATATTTCAGGCTGGCCTTGAACTCACTAGTAGCCCAGGCTGTCTTCGAACTCACAGCAATCCTGCCTCAGCCTCCCAAGTGCTGGGATTACAGGCATGTGCCACCAGGGCCGGCGCAATTTAATTCTTTTTTGATGCTGTTTTAAATGGAATTGTTTTTGTAATTTCCTTTTCAGGGTTATTCATTGTCAGTGTATAGGTGTGTAGCTGATTTTTGTATGATGTCTTTGTCTTGCTACTCTGTTGAGCTCGTTTGTTAGTTCTAACTGTTGTGCAGGTGAGTCCATAGGGTTTCTACAAAGAGATCATACCATCTACAAACAGATAATTTTACTTCTTTTATAGTGTGAGTCTTTTTCTTGCCCAGTTTCTCTGCCTAGAGCTCTTCTACTGTGTTGAATGGAAGTGGTAAGAGCAGACATCCTTGCTTTGCCTGAAGATTTTCTCTCTCTTTTTTTTCTCTTGTCCATCTAGCAAGAAGGTTATTGAATTTTATTTAGAAAATAGCTTTTGGTTTGTCTTTTCTCTGTTGTCTTTTTTCTGTCACGTAGATTTGGCTCTTGTATTTATTATTTTCTAACTCCTGCTTACTTTGAATTGTTTTGCTTTTCTTTTCCTAGTTTCTTTTTTGTTTGTTTGTTTTTTTGGTACTGGGGATTGAACTCAGGACCTTGCACTTGCAAGGCAGGTGTGTCACCACTGAGCTACATCCCCAGCCCCTTTTCCTAGTTTCTTAGGGTGACTCTTGGCTCCCTGAGTTCAGAGCATTCTTGTTTCTTCAGCGTTGGGAGCTCTGGCCCACTGCTCAGGGCACCCAGCACACTTTTGACATGTTGTCTTCTCATTTGCAACATTCAGCCCCATATGTGTTCTCATCTTCCTTGTGCCTCTAGTTCTGCTTCATTTATTATTTAGCAGTTTGCTAGTTAACGTCAACAGATTTCCAAATGCAGCGTTCTGGGTTTCTCATATATATACGTGCTGCAGCCACTCTGAAGCAGGTGCCAGGCAGGGCTGAGATGAATGAGGCACAGGCACAGGGGCTGCTGCAAGCCCTGACCCCTTGGCACAGGCTGGAGAGAAGAATGGCAGTCAGACCCTCAGCTCTTACCAGTCTGTAGTGCTATGGGTTAAGAAATTTGAAAAAAAAATGTTTTCTTTCAGTACTGGGGATTAAACCCAGGGCCTTACACATGCAGGGCAAGTGCTTTGCCTCTGAGCTGCAGCCCAGACCTAAGACTGTTAGACAGCTGCTGGTACTGAGCAAGCAGCAAAGGTGTTGCTATTGATGGGAGCAGGGTTCTCACTGTGGGAGAAGGGCGCCCAGATGTGAGTGAGCAGAGGCAAGCCTTGGTTTTCTGGATGAGAATGTGTGTCTGTGTGTGCTTCAGAGCATGTGGCCCACAGGTGCCACGTGGACCCTATGGTGCTGTCATCCTGTGTGTGGAAAGCTGCCAAGGTGTGGCAGGGCCATGTGCACCCCCGTGCTTGCACCGTGGTCCCCGGCCCCCTTCTTAGGGAGCCGGGGCCCCTGGCAGCACTGTGTCAGAGGGCGACCGCCAGCCCTGTGGGAGGTGCGGGCTGGCCCCGAGGCTCCTGGCCAACTCTCCTGGGCGCCACCCTACAGGGCTGCTCTCGCCTCCCAACACTGCGCTTGTTTTGGGCGGCACCCTTGCAGCTCACTGAGGCAGACTTTTAAGGTCTTTCTTGCCAACTGTCCATCTCAGTACAGAGCGATGTTTCTTAATAACTACTGAAGCGGTTATAAAGAGCTTTTACTTTGTGTGGATTCAATCTCTTAATATTTATCATATTATAAATTAAAGCTAAAAATTATTAGTTCATTTAGAAATAATAAACTCATTACATATTGACATAAATCTCACATACTTAGGAAGAGTTTTCCAAACAGCTCTGCCAGTCTCTTATGGCTGGCTAATCAAAGCACCTTGGTTCCCATGTGTGGCTCAGATGTCTGTGGCAACATCATATGTGTGTGGCCAAAGAGCAAGAAATGCAAATGATGTCTTTGTACTACGGTGGAACGGTCCTGACCTCGCAAAGCTTGGGAGCACTCGGGCTTCTCTGGGCTTCCTGGGCCACTTTGAAAACGTCTAGCTTAGAACCAGGCATTCAGAAATACCTGTCAGTGGATTGATTAATTCCAGAGGGACTGTCGGGTGGTGCCTCGCACCTGGCACACTCCACCGTGGATGTGGATCGTCTCCATCTCAGTCCTCTGTTTCCTCCACGACAGGTGTCCCTGTGAACAGCAGAGTGTCCTCCAAAATCCAGCAGCTTCTGAACACCCTGAAGAGGCCAAAGCGCCCTCCTCTGAAGGAGTTCTTCGTGGATGATTTTGAGGAATTACTGGAAGGTAGAATTCTCTGACTTAAGCTTCTGTGACCAGGGTGGCCATGTCTAGAAATGCAGGCAGATGTTCATCAGATGTGAGTTACTGCTGTTACATTGTAACGCAGTAAAATACTTTCTCTCCGCCTAGGCTTTGTGCTCGCCTTGTGCGATGGTGACTGTAGAATCACATGTGCCTGCATTGTTTTGCAGGTAGAGTGTGTGTGCCTGAGATGATAGTGACATAGCATTTCTCTATGGTTAGTCCAGGGGGGATTGAAAACTACAGTGAATGTTTAAATTTTAAAAAACTTATTACAGTAACTGACACATTGCCAAAAATAATGGGCAACTTCTGGCTTTTCCCTAAAGTCAAATGACCATGAAAAGTAAATGTTTTGGGCCGGGGATTTAGCTCAGTGGTTCCACCGCCTGCCTCACGAGCGCAAGGTCCGGAGTTTGATCTCTGGTACCAAAAAAAAAGTAAATGTTTTGAATTGATTCAGGACATCAAGGCAACAGCAACAGCACAACTCAAGACACTCAGGAAAGAGGACTCCAGAGCTGCTACAGAAAGTGGCAAGGACAGGGGGATACTTTCAAAATGAGGGGGAATATTCTGAGATGGTTAAATGATGATGTGTCTTTTATGGTAATACATTTTTTAAAAATTTAAACATTGACCATATTTTGTGATCACACCTCATTCTTTGTAAAATTATTTGTTTCATTTAATTTACATTTTAAATTTTTATTTAAACTTTAAATCCGAAGTGCTTATCTTCCCTTTTTGTCGTTGTTTGGTTTTTGTTTTTCAGACAGGGTCTCGTTATGTAGTTTAGTCAGGTCTTGAACTCACTATGTAGCCTAGGCAGGCCTCGAATTTGTAACAATCCTCCTGCCTCAGCCTCCTGAGTGTTGGGATTGTAGACATGCACCACCATGCTTAGTTCCTGTGGTTCAATTTTCAGGTAGATTTGGCTCCTTCTTAGAATTGTAGCCTCGTATTTATGAATGAAAGGTATATTTAGGATAGGAAACAAAGGATATAGATTTATATTTTTAAAAGAATATTAACAGGCAGAAAGAATCACAAGCCCCAGACAATGCAAAAGTTGTGCCCATGGTCAGCTTGTGAGGGCTGCTGGCCCTCAGGCACCCTGCTTGCCCTGCTGTTGGAGACAGATGTCGTTCTTTCCCTTGGGTGCAGCGCCAAGTATTGGGCTTGGGACTGAGTGGCTGTGCTCACCTGGTCCTGAACGGCTCTCCCTGGGAGGTGCTGCTGTGCTGTGGAGGTAAAGACACCACGCTGAGGCCACCCTTGTCCTGGGAGCTGGCGGCTGCTAGGGTTGTGGGTAGTTTTTAATATTATTTCAGAGCATCATTATCTGAATCCTTTAGTCTTCCGGTTAATTGGTCTGTTGCTATTGATAATGATAAAGAAATCTAAGCAAATAGTTGTAAGCTTTTCATAGTTGTTTTTAAAACAAAATTATAAAGTATGAATGCTAAAAACAGAATTTGTGCATGGCATAGTGAAATGCTGATTTTTTGAATTTTGATTTTGCTTGCAGTTCAGCAACCTGATCCAAATCAGCCGAAGCCCGAGGGAAGTCAGATGGTGGTGCTGAAAGGAGAGCCCCTGGCGGTGGGGACCCCCTGGCCTCCATCCCTGCTGGCTGCCCTGCAGCGGTGGGGCACCACGCAGCCCAAAGCCCCCTGCCTGACTGCACTGGACACGGCAGGGAAGGCTGTCTACACCCTCACCTATGGTAAGGTTCCCAGAAAGCAGTTGTACATTGTGTGCAGCCATAAAATATCACGAGCAGTACAGCACGGATGTGCAGTGGATGAGCGTCACAAAGCTCCTTCCCAAGAAGCTGACACAGCTGCCAGAGACAGCACATTGCCACCTGCTGACTTTGGTTCTGAGCATTGCAGCGTGTAGTGTTTTTTGTATGTGTTCTGAGCAGTGTGGTTTAGTTTTATATGATTTTGAACTTTATGTAAATGGAATTGCGCAGCAGGTTTTTTTGTGTTTGTTATCTTTTAGTTCCTGATGATGTTTTTATGTAACACAATTCACACAGCTTGATGCCTTTACAAAGGGCAGGCAGGCAATTGCCCAGCCACTCACACTGCTGGGTTTATGTTTTAAGTGTTATGTAAGTCAGATTATATAAAAGGCATTCTTTACATTTTCACTCATTTATCAAACATGGGACTCATCCATGATGCTATACGAAGTGTAATTTATTCTCACTGCTGGATATTATTTTGTTTGCTGGATATTATTTTGTTTGCTGGATATGCCAGGTTGTTTCCCATCTGGGACTATGGTATACAGGGCTCTAATGAATATTCTTTAGTTTTTTTGTTTGTTTGCTTGTTTGTTGCAGTGCTGGGGATGGAATCCAGGGCCTCACTCATGCTAAGCAAGTGCAGCACCTCTGAGGCACACCCAGTCAGTGGTGTTGTGCACATTCTTACTGGAGCCCATTGTGGGCAAATGCAGGCATCTGTGCTAGGTGTGAGCACAATGCAGCTTGCTCAGTGTTAGGACATACCACTAGATATTTATTTATTTATTTATTTAATTTTGGGGGTACTGGGGACCAAACTCAGGACCTTGCACTTGCAAGGCAGGCACGATGCCCCTGAGCTAAATCCCCAGCCCCAATACCAGTAATTTTTAAGAGAGTTGCAGCAGTTCATTCTTGGAGCTGCTGCAGGGTCTTCTATTGCTCCACATCCTCACCACATGTGGTACTGTCTCTGTGTACTATCAGTCTTCATTGTGGATGGGTGGTTTGCAGTGTAGAGTTAGGTACTGATTTGCATCGTGCATCTGAATGATAGCTAATAATGCTTTCCATATGATTTGGGGTATTTTGAATATTATTTATTTATTTATTTATTTAGGGTGATCCTCTTGCCTCAGCCTCCCAGAGTGGTGGGATTATAAGCATGAACTACCACGCCCAATTTTGAATATCTTCTTTTATAAATTATTAAAATCTTTGGCTCATTTTTTTGTTTGCTTTGTTAACTTTTTTTCACTTTCATACATACCTTTTTTCAGATGCATGTTTTGTGATTATCTTCTCTCAGTCTTTGGCTTGCCTTTTAAAACTTCTCTTTGTGACATTCGAGGAATGAAAAGCCTTGATCTAGTCCTCTATCTGTTTTTTCCCTTTTATTGTATTTAGTTTTGACCTGTTTAGAAAGTCTTTGCCAAAAATGAAGTCATGAAGATATTCTACACAGTCTTCTAAAAACTCCATTGTTTCCCTTTTGACATTTAGGAGTTTTGCTCCATCTGGAGTCTCACTTTGTGTATGGTGTAAGGCTGGAGTAATTTTCTTCCCTTATGAGTATCTGATTGGCTCTGTATCATTTATGGGAAAGGCAGTCCTTCCCGCACATACCCCAGCATTGCTTTGTCACACGTCAGGTGAAAAACAGACGTGCAGGTCTGTTTGGGATGTCTCCTCTGGCAGCTCTGTCCACGCTCTGTGCTTCTCCACTTCTCGAGTCTCAGCATCAGGGACACGTGTCCTCCAGCTCTGTGATTACTCCTCGAGATTGCATGGTTCTTCGCATTTCCAAGTAAACTTTAGAACCAACTTGTCACTTTCCCTGAGATTTCCTGCTTGGGTTGGTGTTGCATTGAATTTGTACTTGAATTTACAGAAGATTGGTAATGTGGTTATGGAATCTTCTAGTTTATGACTGGAGAATATTTCTCCCTTTTTAAAGGCTGCCATCATTTCTCTCAGTAATGTTTTCATACTTTTGAGTACAGAATTCTTGAGCAGTTTTCATTAGATTTATTCCTGTTGTAAACTTTGAAACTTTTTTCTTCTGAGCCCTGAGAGCTCAGCACTTTTCCTAGGGGCTGGCTGTGCTGTGAGACCTCCTGTGGGAGCCCAGTCCACAGACCCCACACAAGCAGCTGCGCCTGTCCCAAGGTCCCTCCCATCTGAGCTCTTCTGTCATCTTTGCCCAGCAGCTCTTTGCTGCCTCTGACAGTGACTTCTGTTTCCCACTCGAAGCACAGTCTTTTAGAATTGGTCCATGTTTCTTATGTGTGACTCATTCTCATAACGTTACTGAGGAAAGAAGATCCCAGAACCTGCTTGTCCGATGTAGGTGGACATTTCGGCGGTTTCCAGCCTGGGCTGTTGGAAGCAGTACTGCAGGGTGATGGGTGGCACCTGCAGCAGCACCTGTTCTGTAGGCCGAAGACTTGGGAGTGGAAGTGTTTGGTCTGGGATTGGGCCACTCGCCACACTTGGGAGATAGCCGTGCTTTTCCAGGTCATACTTACTCAGCAGTGTATTGTCAGGCTTGCTAGTTTTAGCTAATCTAGTCAGAATATCATAGTGTTGCGTTGTGCTTTTTTTTTTCCCATTAAGTTTATTGGTACATTTTGGGTATAAAATACAGTTACATTCATCATTGGGATCTTGTACCTTTACGTGATGTATCTTGGTTCTTACTTTTTTCCCCTTCGCCTGCCCTCCCTTCACCCCCTCCACCCTTCCCTATTTGCAAAGACTTTGTTTCCATTTTTTTCCTTTTCTCATATTT